TGCGAATAATCTTGGAAGGCTATTTAAACAGATGAAGGCCTAAATTGTCTTGCTTGTATCTGAATTAATTTCTCATTCATCATCATTATGGAGTGATTGGTTCTATTCAGGCTCTGCAGCCTGCTGGAACGAAACTGGATTTAAATGAGACTGTAGCACAATTTAAATGCTCCCCGGCTTTAACGAGGCCAATCGAGCAGCTGCAATAAATACAAATATTTTTCTAAACAGTCTTGTTTTAAATAATTAGTTAATACTTTCATGTGATGTTCTTAAGTGGCAATTTCTGCCTCTGAAGTCCCAGGCACTTCTTCGCAGAGAGGGCAGCACAGAAAATCACTTTGTGTTTGCTTTGTGTCTAGGTGTGCATGCAATATACTGGTGGAGGTGCTTTAGGATGGATTTCGTAAATATTGGCGTAAACCTGCGCTACGTGCTTGGTCTGGACACATCAGTTTAGCTGGGGGGAAAAAATATATTAAAAAAGATGAGGCCAGAGGTTGTGATTTATGTTTTCTTGTTTGAAGATCATGAACTAGACATCTTTTCTTTCTACTCCCCTACAATAAAATAAAATAAAATAAAATAAAATAAAATAAAATAAAATAAAATAAAATAAAATAAAATAAAATAAAATAAAATAAAATAAAATAAAATAAAATAAAATGCCAAGGGCAGAGACCAGTTCTGGCCGGATCTGCTTTATTCGTTGACGTGATCCCACCACCGCCCCGGGAGGCGCCGCTTTCCTGGCCGCTGCTCTCCACACGCGCAGGGGTCGTCGCTCCCGCGGGTGCGGAGAGGGGATAGGACCCTGCCTGGCTCACAAAACCGGCAAACGGAGTCCGGAGGGAGCAGACAGCAAAAGAAGGGCTAGAGCGGGGAGGATGCAGCCAAAAGACACGAGGCTCCCTCCCCCTCTCTCTCACCCAGGAACTTGATGTGCGTAAATGAAGCCATTTATGTTAGCGACACTCCAGCTCACGCTGGCGTTGGGTTTACCCCAGGGTGACACTATTGTAAGTGGCAGGACAGTGGGCCTTGGGGTGACATATGGTGAAGGGTGTTTTCTGGGGCTAAACTCAGCAGTAAAACAAGGTACCCAAGCGCGCAGGAGAATAGGGGAAAACAAAAGGAGCCTTCGGTTAGACAAGCAGAAAGGGAGAGGAGCAGCATGACTTTCTGCAGATGCTGGAAAACGGCCTAATAGCCGATCAGGAAACGTGAAATATGGACAGCCGGTTTTCTAATGATTTGGACGCTGGAGTAAAGAATAGTGCTGGGAAAGCAGATCCGATCCAGTTTAATCATATAACCTTAATAAAAACGTATAGCGTGCGAGGGGAAAGCAAGCAGCAGTCTCGGCGCTATCTCACTTAATGGTACAGAAGGTGACACATAAAACACAACAAAGATGGTCTGCGTAGAGCCGAGAGAGGCTGAGTGATTTGATGGCAACCCACTAATTTAATGCGCAAGTTGCAACACAGCTTCCCGGGATCGGTTAGGCTTAGCCCGTTCTCCAGAGCTCATCTTCTTCCTCTTCTAGTCCTCTTTTTTTTTTTTTTTTTTTTTATTATTCAATTGTTTAAAATGAGCATTATCCCAAACATATGCAGTGCAATCAGCTCGGTCACACTTACAAGAACACGCTTTAATAAGGCAATCAATCAAATGCTAACAAGGCGGGGAAGGCCTTTCCTAGCTGAATTTGGCTGGCTGGACAGCAGAGCAACCCTGTGGCGCACGGGGTACCCCCAGAGCAGCCCCGACATGGCCGGGGGAGGGGATGAGCTCCAGGGCATCGCTCTGCGTGGTAGCAGGGACATCTTTTCCCTTTCTGCCCATCAGCTCCCTCTTCCCAGGGTTCGAGCCCGGCCAGGGTGAGACGAGTGGTACCTGCCCCGCTTGGGGTGATGGTTTGGGAACAGCGCCATAGCTCAGCCTCAGGCTCGGTGCCCCACGCGTGCTTCGGTCTCTGGCAATCCCCCAACGTGTGACCGGGAGCCGGCATCCTGCGTGGAGACTGCGAACCACCACCACTCTCCTCGAGTGCCTCAACCCCACGGGCCCCCGCACAGCAAAAGGAAAATTTCATTATAAAGTAATGAGTAATTCCTCCCAGTGAGATGTATTGTTATATCTTCCACTTCAATTTGGGAGCACAGCGGCTCAATTACCTAGAAAATACAGTCAATTAAAGGCTGCTGATTGGACACGAGGACGGATCATCGATCTTGTACTTTCCAATATCGCTTCAGACACCTCATTTTCCCTCCCCTATTAACTGAAAATACTCCTGGCATTACTGCGACCCGGAGCCTATTTACCTGTCGCAGACAATCTCTGCCTTGTGCCGGAGCCACAGAGAAACTCTCCTGCAGCCACCCCTTGCCGCAGCCTCCTCCGAGAAAGCCGAAGGAGGAAGGGGTCGAAGAACTGCACGGAGCCCAGGGCGACGGTGAGGGCCGCGCAGCTCCTGCCAAGCCGCTCTCCTACCTCTAGCCCCCTCCCTGCTGCTCATCTTCCCACGGGGATGGGCAGATGGTAGTGGAGAGAAGGGGGTAAACACATTGGCACACACAGAGCTCTCTATCCTTCTCTATAAAATATATATATATACATATATATTTGCAATATATGTATATTGCCCCGCTCCTGCATGCTATCCTCGCAGCGTCACGTTTCGCCAAAAGATGCGTTTGCGAGCGCAAATCGACGCCGCGCTCTTTCCGAGGGCGAGGTGGCACCACAGGTAGCCCTGACCGGGCAGGACGGGACAGGGGACAGCCAGGACCTTCCCTCCCCCCCCACCGCCCCGCTTTGCCGCGGTCCCTGCAGCGCTCCCGCTTTGCGCCACCCGCGCCTTATTTTTGTGACGGGATCTTCTCTGCTAAAACATAAAGTACCCGGCAGGGGGGGAGGGGGAGAGAAGCGGGAAAAGCAGAGCGAGGAAATGTTGGAAAGGTCGGGATTTGTTTTGCGCTGCCCTTGGATGCTGTTTACAACTTTTTTTTTCTCCTTTTTCCAAGAGGGCGAAGAATCTATTTGTGCTTGTTCAAAAAGGGCCATCAGTTTTCATGTCCACGAGGACATCTCATTTAGAAAGAGAACAATCTGCCCTTAATTATTTAAAGATGGTGACTTTTGATCCATTTTTTAAAAGCCCTAATAAACAATTTTTGTTTGAAAAAAAATATATCCTGGCACGCCTGTGCTTCTTGCCCTGCTTCCCATCCGCTACAAGGACACGCTGCTGTTCGCTCTCTGTCCTAGAAACAGAAAGTCTCCCGAATAAGCTCTAGGTTCCTTAGCAATTTAACATCAAGTAGATAGTGGAAGTGTCAACACATCTTTGTTCTGTCCAGCATTTATTTTCCTGCTTGTTGAACTGCAACTATTAGAAACTAGACGAAGGTGAAATTCGTCTTTTAGCAACATATTTACTTTTTTTTTTAATCAAGCACAATAAAATGTGGGTGATGTGTTGTTAAGATGCTTGTCATTATTGTAGTTGTTATGGTTATTGTTTTTTTATTATTGCGACTTGGTAACCAATTGTAAGAGTATGTTCTTTGGGCAGTCTAAAAATAGAGTCAAATAAACAATTTCGCATTTGGAATAAATTGCTAGCTCAGTAGTCCAGTCCGGCGCCTGTGTTTGGTTTTTAAATTTGAGGTTGACAGCTGTACTCCACACGGGCAGAAATCCACGGGAGAGTAAAAAAAAAAAAAAAAAAAAAAAAACGCAATAGTGCTCCCTCCTTCCGAAATACCTGAAAGCGAGGTGGCGGGAGCTACTGAAAGAAATTATCCCCAGGAAGGAAGAAGGAAGGGCTGCTAGTGTGGAGGACATATACAAATGCAAAGATTAGAGGTGGAGAAGGAAGCACAAAACCCAACACTTAAATTAAGGAAAAAAAAAAAAAAGTCAGCGAGAGAACCAAAGGCTGAAGTACAAAGGAAGGGAAATCGCCTGTGCTCCAATTTGCAGACTAGTGATTGTCTGAAGGAGTTCTGCTCCCTGTCACCTAATCTCTTCCCTTGGCGGCTTGTTAACGTTTGGCACAGGGTCTCTGCTCAGACCACATTATACATTCGATATTCAAAAATCCCCCTTACATATACATCACTTGCTAATTTCGTCAGTGTGTGCACATTTCAGCCACTGATAATAGGACGTTGTTATTTAAAGGACAAATAGCTCTGACCCATAAAGAGGCAGGAGCTCGTATTTTTCCCTGCCAATTCCAGTCTGCCTCTTAAATATAAAAGTTGAAATGAAAGAGGAGACGAAACGCTGGATTTCTGCTCAGAATGAAGGAGGAGACCACAACATACTTAAGAATGCAATTAAACCACGGAAGCAATGTACAGAATGCCAGTTTTTCTTTATGTTAAAGCATTTTTTTTCTATAGAAATATCTGGATAATACTGTTGAGCTGCAATCCAGAACTTTTTTTTTCCTACTGTTTGCTCCTTGATTTTATTTTCTGAGCACTCTGGCAGATGATGTCTGTGTTTTCTTCATGTGCACAAGCCGTTTCGTTGTCAGGACAGTGTGTTTTCAAGTATTTTAGATTTTCTTTCTCTGACTTGCAGGTTTGTGCATGAGGTTTGTCACTATGATCTGCAGAAGTCCCAGCCCTTGGTAGGAAGTCTGTCCGTGGAAAAGAAAGTCCCAGCTCATTTCTATTGGTTATTGAAATGTATTTCATTCCTGTTAGATTTGTTCGTTTCTCGTCGGTGCCTGAAATCCTTCCAAGAGATAAATGACTTGCCATTTCTTTTATTCTCTCTTTTATTTTTTTTCCCACTTGGAATGTAAATCCTTGTAAGACTGAACTATTTTTAGTCTTTTTTTTTTTCATAGATGTCCACTTGTGTGTAGAGAACACTGTTAAATAAACATCGGATGTAGGTACATTAACTCAGAGCGAGCCCGGGAGAGGCTTTATTATTTTTATTATTAATATTTTTAATAAACCTGAGGTGAGCGCTTATCTGGTTAAAGGAACTTCTTCTCGCTGGTCCATGGAAACTGAGGTGGTTTTGCTCAGCACCGAGGGCGTGAACGTGAGGAAAGAGTCCGTCCTGGTCGTGGCCGAACAGCTAAAGTCCGATGGGGCGGCTCGCTGGGGCAGCCCGTTGGACTGGCC